CGTCCGTTTCCCTAACGGCAACTGTCTCTGTCTCCGTTAGCGTGCCATCAATTTCCAAAACGTATTCCGTTATTTTGGCAGTACCAGCAGTCTAGATGGATCAGTAAATATAATACACGTACGTCAAACTAACACTTACGTCATAATTGCCAGAAGCAGATGTGCCACCCTCATCGGCTTCATTATCCACGTCCACTAAAAGCGCAGGGGCTGGACATACATTCCTAACATAGGGTTGATTTTAATTAAAGCTTCCAACACATTAAAGAATAAAGTTTACCTGTGTGATTGAAGTCTACCTGCTCCTGTGTTCTTCACTATGCCTTCACAAACAAGACATTTTGCAGCAGGTCGTCCCTTATCTTTTATTAATTGAAATTTTAAACGTTCAAAGTTAATGTTTGGCCTTCGACCACGGTTACTCATTATTATCTCTGTAATATTCAAATTATTCACAAATCTTGATCAAATACAAACTCACCAGCTGATTATAACCTAACCTATATCGTTCAGTCGACATTAGTCTACAATTTTCGACATTGTTGACACGAATACAAATTGTCGACGTAAAGATGACATGTGTATGTCGACTATTAAAGTCGACGCGCCGACGCCCATCTCTGGTGATGATGCAGCATTCGATTGCTTTCTCCAACGTTTCCTTGTCATTTTGAAGTAATTTTTCAAGTTTGTCGTCATTTATACCTGTAATTAACATAGTTTTAATTAACTCGTTTTGTAGATCACCGAATTCGCAGCAATTGGCTTGGTTTTTCAAGGTGGTCACAAATTGCTCGATTGTTTCGTCTGCAGATGCGTGTAGTGAAAAACTTATATCGTTCATATGAAAGGTTACGTTTCGGTATGAAGTAGTCATCAAATTTCGAGATCAGCGTCTCGATTTTGTTCTGTTCTCCTTGAGCGAACGTGAATGAATTGAAGATGTCGATGGCCTCTTCACCCATGCAGAATAACAACTGCGCGCATTGAATTTTCTCTTCTTTGGCATGAGTTCTGTTGCCGTTGCATATATTTGAAATTTTTGCTTCCATTTCTTCCATACAGTTGTTAAGTCACCAGGGTCGTAGATAAGGGGTGGGGAGGGGGGGTTAGGGAGTTCAAACCCCCCCTCATTGAGAAATAAGAAAATAAAAAAATATTCACTTTAGCACATTACTATGCTTGCTAACAAAACTAAAACAAAAGAAAAACACATCTCGGTATCCTGGCGCCCGCCGGTCAGCTGCTTTGCTGATGCAGATGAAATGAGATGATTCAGTTGTTTCTACACTATTGTTTTCAGTTTTCTTAACGACATGCAACAGATTGTCCGTTCGGCGTTCGTTGTCGGTTATCATAATAAAATAAAACAAAGAAGTAGGTAATAAGTAGTAATTAATTTATTAGACAGTGTACGTACCTACTATCCTTGCCAGGGATCTGTGCCCCTGCGTCATCATTTATATTTTATGGTGTAATATGAAAAAAGCTAGTCAAATTATGTCCGTAATAATTATATGTATAATATCCTTGAATGATAATGTATGCTCAGAGATGGCGGCAGCGGCGCTAAAAATCTTATTGACATTACGAAGTTTTGTTATGCTGTGAATTATCTGACGAATTTGTAAAGCGCAATTGATGGTCGGCAAAATATCTTAATCTGCGCCTAATTTGTAAATATCCAAGAAATTGCCTTACTCTAATTAAACTAATAATCAAAACAGTGTCATGTTTTATGCAACGCTGATGTAAGAAACAACTACAATTGTACTATAATTGATAGTTTAAAAATGAATCTTGTAGAGTTTGGGCAGTAAGAAGTGAAATTTCAAGCACCCAAATCAGTTGATTGACTCATCGAGTGTAATTTCTTGATATGCCCAGTAAAATCTGTATAAGGCTCAAGAATTAAAAAAAAAATCTCATGTCGGTACATGTATATTGTTACAATATTATTAATACATCAGTGTGTTAATAACATTTTAGTAATAAACTAATCCGTATCCGAATCGTAATCTGAACTTTCGGAGCAACTATCAATATTAATTATCATTTCGTTTACAGTGAAATCTAATACTTCTTCTCGTTTATACCACGCCTTTATAACGTCTTCTGTGTGTCGCACACAATTGGCCCAAAACGTTTCGTCACCAGGGGCGGCTCTCTATAAAGAGCCAAGGAGCCATGGCACCACCTCAAGGAACCTGCTAATTATCAATTCTTAAAATATAATTAACTATTATTAATTGTGCTCACTAGAGTACATAATTGTGTTTTAAAACCTTAAAACAAAAAAAGTAAATGATTTGATAAATTAGGTACCAAGAAAAATTCATTTGTGCTTATCCGTGGACTTCAAATACGGTCGAGCCGTGCCAAACTGAAACTGGCTCGTATTTTCCAACAAGTGTGGACTTCCGCGGGGAGTAGAGGGGTGGGAGGAGCGAAACCGAAGTAGCGTTTTATACGTACAACTTGAGCCATCAGAAGTTTGGCTCATAAGCACAATTGAATAATGTGTGCGTGTATTACTATGCTTTGCGCCGTTTTCCTTGTTTCAGTCGTGATAAGTCAAACAATTTTTTTTACTTCTGTGTAAGATTACACTTCCCGGATTAATTGTTACGTAAAATACACAAATTAAAAAACCATTTAAATAAACCTTTTTCCATGCATTCTCTGGAAAATAGACTTTAAATAAAGCAATAAGCAGGCCGTTACCGGACTTAAATATTGTTAGAAAACGAAATGTGTCTGAATCTTCTTTAAGAGGACCACACGACAATAGCGATAAATCCGAAAATAAAGGAGTAGGTATTCAGGGAATTAATAAATTTCGGTACCTACTTGTTTAGATAAAGATTTGAATAGTTATTTGTACAACTATTGCTGAAAATGATACTTCGGAGTTCGGCCTCATTAATACAACTGAAAATAAAATGTTGCTGTTGTTTATAGATCAGACTAAACGCCATGGAAACGGATAGTACAAATCGTGAAAAAAGTAACACTTTCCATACAATTTTTTGTCAAAAAAATCCGCTAATTCTCATCTAAAACAACACAAAATGAATTACTGGAATGCATGCTTGAAGTATACTTATAATGAAACAAGCCTCCAAAGAAATTAAAGGGGCTAGATTTGTTTCCGTCACTTGCATTATAAATATTCGAATTATACTCAAAATCTAAATAACTGGAATAATATGAAAACAAAAATTTGTAACTATTAAAATAATGGGGAGGAGGGCACAATTTGGCACTACCTTCTACGCAGCTTACGAACCGCCACTGTTCGTCACATTGTTGCAGTGCCTCGTTCCACATAGAAATTACACTGTGGTCACTGTAGCCGTCTCGTCCAATATGTGTAACGTTGTAATTATTCTAAGTTAGTCAGTACGAATTTCCCTTGTTACGGCACTGGCGGGGGAGAATGCGATGTAACTTTCAATTGTTAGTTTTGACGATTGTGGGTTTCGGGATTGGTACCTGCGCGATTGGCGGGGCGAGGAAAATTCGTGCGTGTCTTACTTTCTTTTCGTTGCTCGTTTTGGGAAGACGCAAAAGTGTCGGTTGAATATTAGTTCGCTGGTGTAATGTCGTAAAAGATTGGTTTCCGTCATCTATTGAAGTATTACCTTTCACGGAATCATCTTATTAAACTATGGATTGATATTTTTTTTTGGTTAATCAATATCGTAGTGAACTCTTTTGAGAGGCTTTTAAACGAATTACCAGCGAAACTATGTAAGTAGATATACGGGATTAATATCTCGGCCATTATAATGTTCATTTTTAGTGACCGTATCTTCCTGATCGTTATTAATTATCATACAACGTCAATCTTTCCAATAGACCTTCTTTAATAAGAGGTAAAGAGGGTTATGCGTACTAAAATGCACCGTTTTAAACAATCGCTTTTTAGGGTCCTTGTATCCCGTGTAAATTTGCACATTAACATATGTCACCGGAGGGACGTCCATTTTGAATTATTACCAACAGATGCCTTCATCTGAATACACATTCAGCAGTAATCAGCCGTTTGGAACCATGAGATAGAATACATGACCTATATCTGAGCTTATCACCGTCGACACAATTACTTAGCCTATATCAATTATCTGACCAGTTTTGGGGAAATTTTCACTATTTTAAATTTAATTGTAATCGTAATTCTGGTTAACGATCTTTCGATTAATGCCTACATAATTGGCTCTGATTATTGTTTTTGCATTTGAGATCTCCTTCGGAGACATGATTTAATATTGGTTTGTCCTATTACGATCGTGGGAAGTACCGCAAGTGGTAAGCCCTCAGGCACCGTTAAGTACCTCACTGTAGCATTTTTGATTCACCGAGGCATTCTCGGTAAATTTGTCCTTTTATTCTTTATTATAGCTACTAGGTTGAACATTCTTGGGATGAGCTCACTCCACGAATGCCTTCGGAACTACGGGTAAGAATAATACCTTCTCTTTATATACTTGTGTGTTCGCCACCTCGTTTTGGGGTTAATAACGTTAAGTTTCATGCCGTCGGGTGTGATCGAGTTATCGTTCACTAATTTGTGGGCTTAATGTTCAATTAAGTAAAGTTTTTGGGGGGAATTCAATTTAGGGGAAGAGATTAGTAAATGTATATTGTTTTTAGTAGTGCATATTCATGCGTTAAGATTTTTTCTTGAATTTGGTGTACCTTACTGAATAAATTTTTGATTTTTGGGTGGTCAGGTACTCACTGATTATATTATTGTTGTGCCGCTACTGTTACACTTCCTTATTTCGGTAACAGTCAGTGTATAATATTCCAGGTAATAAGGTGGCGCCCTTACTGCTTTGCTCTAGCATACCTAATTATTAGATGAGAGGAACGGAATCCAGTGCCCGCAGAGACCGAACGAGACCTAATGACCCTTGAGTGCTCAAGCTTACCCCGATTAATAGTCACCCCTGAGCTAGTTGGCCGATTAGCGGCGGGTTTGAGCAAATTCACCGTTATATATGTTTATCGTAATAACTTTTAGCATGTGCCCACACCAACTCGATAGCATTAAATTCGTAGTGGTAGGGTGGTAATCGTAAAACATCATGTCCATGGTTCCTAATGATGTTGTCGACCTCATATTGTTTTTGGATTCCTAACGATTTTATAAATGAATACAGCTCGGGCTTGAAGAGTGTAGAATCAAAAGGAATATTTCTTCTGGTCAACCAAGCAACCATATCACCTTTAGTCCAAGACGATGTGGGCAGTTTCTCTACTAATGTAGAGTGGTATGGTGCATTATCGATGACAATTAACGAAGGCTCTTCCAAGTTGTTTAACAGATTATTGATAAGCCATTTCTTAAAGAGATCTCCATTCATTTCCCCATGATAGTCCTCTTTCAACGACTTCGAGGCAAATAAAAGAGAAGCGTTCTGTATAAACCCGGTGCTTGTACCAGCATGGACAATAATAAATCTTTTCCCATCGTAACCTGCAGGTTTTCGCACACTTTTTAAATCTTCATCTTGCCATGACTTTCCGGGGTTTCCCTTTGAATAAATCCATGTCTCATCCATGAACGCAATTGGTCTTCGACTAGATGAACGTATCTCCTGCATATATTGTCTAAGAAACTTGGTTCGCATTTCTGCAATGTTCGGCTTTTCTATCAATGCCCTACGATTGGAGTCTTTTTTGAATTTAAATCTAAGGGCATGTACCGCACGATTTAAACTTCTGTCACTTAATAATACATGGGAGTTTTTGATTTCAGCATTTAACGCTGCCACCGTGACATGCTTCTCTGTAAATAATTAGATACATTTTAAAAATGAACTAAGAGTCAAGTATTATAATGAACTCACTTTGTGCATACATGTTATACAATGCATTCCGAATGCACATTTTTGATGTTTCCGGCAGATCCTCAGATTTTGGTTTGGCACGTGGTCGTTTTTTCCCAGGACTTGACAAAATTGGATCGACAAGTGCTCGAGACTTGATTTTTTTTACCATCCTGACAGATATGCCTAGGGCGTTAGCTACACGCTGTAATTCTACGATCATATACACTTGAGTGTAAATACTAACTACGTACCTCTTGGACACAAGACACAGGCAACAAAGGTGCGCCATTTTCTTTCTCTTTTTCAAAATACTGCAGAAGGTTCAACACAAACTGCTGTGATTGTGTGTGTAAAGGTAGCCATCGCAATGGGTATTACCCAATCGGTACAAAAAATAGGTAGGTGTATGAAGTAGGTAAAATAACTCACACACGAAATAGTTCTAAAAAGAACTGTTGTCGACACTATGTAAATAAAAGCGGAAAAAAGGTAAATGGAAAGAATCAAACAAAATGCAGTGACAGATGAACGAAATGAGAGGTTATGTATGTCGGTCAACAAAACAATCACGTAGCTAGTCAAATGAGTATCCAATTTTATAAACATGAGAAACAGGAGCCACCTTATTTTCATCGGTGTTCTCTTTTCACCGCATTGAATCCATTAATAGCGTACGTCGAACGCGTGAAATGCACTTTATTTATGATCTATCCTTGTTTGAATTGCGCGGTAATGAAATGGCATTATCAACAAGTTAGATTTTGCTTGATTCGTACGTTGATGACGCAGGGGCACAGATCCCTGGCAAGGATTTGATATACCTACTCTTTGATTGTGTTTAAGACGTTTAAGTTTAGTGTTGTTAGTGCCTTAAAGGGGTAGTATACCCAAAATCAAAAAAATTGTAGAAGAAAATCTAAGAACAACATTTCAAACCGGAGTTTTCTACGATGAGTAGTTTTCAAATTATTAACGATGAAAGTTTGATGGACAGAACATGTGACGTCATCCCGACATCGTGGGTGCGGCGGCACGGATCCAAGCAGTCCAAACGCGTCAGTTCCTTCATATTCTAGTTCGCTTTCCTTTGAAAAAAACAAGAAAACCTTACTGAAGTATCATCCGAACATATATCCTCATATAAATTTGGATATTTGTAATAAATTTCTGTACTCAGCTCAGATTGGATACCTATGCTTTCAGTAAGCGTTATTGGTTCCATTTGATTCAGTTCTTCTGTTTGATTGTGGTATATGTTTGATGTTGAACTGGTTTCTCCACTACGAAGTTGATCGTTTACCCACAATAAGCAATCAGACACAATCTTACTTTCTTAGATAAGATGACTGACGTTTTGTAGCTTTATTAGGACCTTTGTTTCTTGTGAGATGTAAAGAAGGGATTGCAGTATTGTTAGCCTTCTCAAAACTTTATACTGAGGCACAGGGTCATTTCCTTCTTGTACCTTCCAAAAAAAATTATCAACTTTAAAGTGGACACTGCAAACGACGTGACTATCTATGATTCAGCGGTTTTTTCTACTTTTCAAGACTTTATTTCGACACGCCTCCTTCTTTTCTCGGGGAAAATTTGCAATGTTACATTGGCATTTTTCAAATTATTGTTGCAGCGGAAAACACAAAGTTAGGCATTTTTGAAAATAATGCAGATCAATGACTACCAGTCTCAAATTAACACGTCAAACGTCATCGAATCCATATATTACTATAGCGCGCCACCGACCCATTTGTCGGGATGACGTCACAACGACCGTTTTTTACATTCGACACCTTACCATTTAATAACGAAACGGCGTAGCGAGTTGCGGTTTTCACCGTTACTCTTAGATATTTTTAATCTATCTTTAGACGAAAACATGAAATTTGGGTATACTGTCCCTTTAAGGGAAAGATTATTTAGGTAAGTAGGTCCCTAATATAGATAAAATCTTACAGTTGCATTTATTTAATAAAATGGAATATTTAATATTTTTTTCAACGTCGTCAATCGATGATGCCGAATTGCCGAGAGATGTTTAAAATACGGCGCTGATTTTAATGTAGTCCAGTCATATTAATGTTTCACCTCGGAATGGAAGACAATAAGCTATAAACTTGTGTACACCTTTATTTTGTCAGTCTGAAAGTTGTCTCAAAAGTCACATAAAATCTCGTGTCCGCGTCTTAAGATATTCAAGGTAAAAGGTCTCAAAAATCGTTTTTTTTTGCACATATCTCGTTTTGTATGGTTTTAATGTCATTTGTACTAATTATAAAAAGTGTAGGGAATAAAATTATCTACAACTTTTACCCCAAACATTTTTCTATATACTCAACGGTTTTTGAGATAAAGGACGGTAGCAGGGCCACGCCATATGAGTTGCATTATACTTTAAGGGGAAACAGTAAATTAATAATTTTATTTCTACATAACGTAAACACATTTAAGATTGTTAGATGTTCATGTTCAACACAATTTACAATTCTGATGCACTTCTGCTGTGTAAATATGGACAGTTATTAAAACAATCACATTGAAATTAATAACACTCACATTGACTAAATTAACATCACAACCTTTAACTTTTTTCATTCATTATCGTCACTTCACCACTAATCTTCATCGGAACTGCCGGTGTTTACAATAAATTGTACATTGTCAATAAATTCATTTCTCGTAGGAATGTTATTTGCTTCTAACCAAGAACGTATCACTTCCTTACGATTATTCATTGTTGGTGGCTTATTTATTTGAACACTTGTAGGGTGCGTTATCCATAATCACAATTGAGTTTGCTGGTAAATTTGGTACATATAAGCTGCTTCTCTAACCACTGCATAAAGTTGGTATGATTCATATCATCGTGATAATCCCCCAATTTACTGTGCGACATCCTCTACAAAACCAGAACGATTACCAGCATACTACGATGTACCTCTGTCTTCTGACCAGCCCTATTGTATATATGTTACCGGCAAACTGAGAAATCCGGCATTTTGCAAAATCCCTAGGCATTTCGCGAAATGACCAATGCAGGAGGCAAAGTCAGAAATGGAGCTCGAGTTCGCACTTTGCCTGCATCTCTTTAGGGATTTCGCGAAATGCCCATCCATGCAGGCAAAGTGCAAAGGCTTCGTCATTTCCCACAGATTGCGCGTACAGCGTTGCCATTTAATTGTACGACGATTGCGATTTTACATAAATACATATGAATTTCTTCTCGATCGAACATCAACATGGTTGAAATAAAAATATTGTAATTACACTAACGTATTGGGTGTTTGAATGCAATTACAATCTGTACTCCTTCTCTTACGGCTAACCGGTGCGTGGTAAAAGAAATAGAATTAGTACTATTTCCACTTAATATGTTTGCTGGTTTAAAATGGCCAAGAAAAATATGTTAGTAGGTATATTTGTAAACAATATTTGGTTTCAAAAATAAAGCCATCCGTGTAGAATATATCAGATTGGGGAAGGTACGGTTACGAGTATACTAACGCGACAGGTTTACGTTTGACACCGCTGTACTCGCGCAATCTGTGGAAAATGGCAGAGCATTCTCACTTTGCCTGAATGTTTGGGCATTTTGCGAAATCCCTAAAGAATAGCAGGCAAAGTACGAACTCGAGCTCCATTTCTCACTTTTCCTGCGCCATTAGTCATTTCGCAAAATGCCTAGGGATTTTGCAAAATGCCGGATTTCGCAGTTTGCCGGTAACATATATAAACTTCCGATACTTCATGTGATTGTCAGCATTTACTCATTCCGTACGATGGGTGGATATAGGTTTCGTCCAAGTATATAACGGGTTTCTTGTCACATTCAGGTTGTTCATTTTCTTTTAATCTTCTTAAATAACGAGAACGCTATACTACAATGTCACTTCTTTCCATTGCCAACCTACGTTTGTCCTGACACTTCTTGTATCGAAAACCAAGTTTCGCTTGCGAAGAGTTTTCCTTCCACCCATTTAGTTGATCTTTTCTTGCATTTTTTCTAAGAGCATTTTAAAATAGGTACCTAACCTTTATTTATGCACAGATCGTCGCCTACTAAACATATATGACTACACGTTGAAATGGCGGTAAAGAGTATAATGTAATGGGCATGATTAAATTATTGCTCCAAAGCGTCTGTTTATTTACAAATGAATCTGAGGCGTCTGAAAAGTTATTGCTCTGTTTTCTGATTATGTAATTGAATGCAGCAAAAATTTTTCACTCTTTTGGATATGGTATTCGATATCCTTTGCCACAAATTCTCGATAGGATTAAAGTCCCGAGATTGCGCTGGCCAGTCCAACCTATTGATTTTATTCCTCTCCATCAATGATTGAACCAATTTTGCTCTATGGCAAGGAGCATTGTCATCCTGGAAAACAATTTTTTTACCAAACAGGTCTTTTCCACTGGGTAGCATCTTGTCCTGCAGTACATTGATGTATTTGGCAGAGTTCATAATTCCAGAGACGACGTGTAATCGACCAACTCCTTGAGCGGACCTGCAACCCCATATCATAACGGAGGTTGGATGTTTAATTGTTGGAACAACACATTTGGCAAAAATTCTTCACCAGGAAACCTTCTGACGTAGGTGTTTCCGGCATGGTTATTGATATTAAAAGTAGATTCGTCGCTAAATGCTCTGTTGTCCAGCAATGAGTTGCTGTCAAGTCGCCTTTGGAAGTTCAAGTTAAGTACGATTTACCATGTAAACAAAAATTTCAAAGGTGACTCGACATCAACTCATTTTTGATCGCATAGTATACAACTCTGTGGCGTAACGTGATCATTCG